TCTGACAAAGAAAAAACATTCAAAAATTAAAAGGGACTGAACAAGGAAACTACATACATTACACTGAAAGGACCCATAGACCAAAAAGATCATTGTCAGAAAGAGTTCAGGGACTGTTTCTTTTTCATATTTATATCATCAGAACTTAGCTCAAAGCCTGGCACATAGTAGGTTTTTAATGAAGGTCTATGAATTCTGACTCTAACGAACTAGGCACAATGAAAAAAGACAGTTTTAAAATTAGAAAAGTACACCATGCCTAAGGAGAACTTCATGAGCAGTGAAGGGGAACCAGGAACTATGAATTACCCTCTTGCCACATGTATTTTCTGAGTATGAGTTCATTTTCCACTGGTCTCTATGTATTTATGGGAGATCATGCCTCTAGAATGGGGGGTTATTTTGTACTAATTGCCATGATAAGCATTTTTTTCCTAATTAAGATTTATTGGATAATTGATATCAACTGATAAACAATGAGGGAAGTACATGGCTAGAGGCTCATGAGTTAGAAAATTAGAAAACAAACTCCTGACCTACCCTTCCAGGTTAATCCTAGAATCTAGGGGTGAAAAGTCGATAGCCCTGCTCTGGGTACCCAACCTGAGACTATAAGTGAGGTTTTGGGAGACAGAGTAAAAACGGTACTGTATCTATAAGATCGGTTGTAACCTCAAAATGCTTTATTAACTTCATCTACTTTGATCTACTGGGAAGATAGCAGAGTGCAGATAGTACAGGGCAAGGAAAACTGACTCTGAAGTCAGAGATCCTGACACTTCATACCTGTGTAGCCTTGGGTAAGACATTTAACCTCATAGTTCTCATCTGCAAAATAAAGGCTTGGACCAGGTGGTCTTTCCAGCACAAGAGCATAATCCTACAATTCTATGATCCTCAAAACAGTCTTGTGAGATAGGTAGGATTGAGATTATAATCTTCATTTCACAGATGAGGTTATTGAGATGTTCAGAGTTTAAATAACTTACAGTCAAATGGCTAATAAATGATGGAGTTGGGACCCAAAACCAATGTCTTCTCATGGCGAGTTCAATGTGTTTTCCTCTATATCATGCTGCCTTTGGAGTTCAATCATAGAGTAACTAGTTGTGCAGTCTTTTCCAGTGACTTTTCTAATAGTCATCACCTCAAATGTCTAAGAATTCCTACTTATCAAATATCTAATTAACCTAGTTGCATGTGATCTGCTATGTGATAGAACTCTTCATATGTACTATTTAGGGATATTCTAGCCTTCTCCATGTCCAGTTGATAGGGCTGTCTCCCTCTTCATTTTTGCTTATTTATATTTAAGTAGAACCTCTCCTCCCTCTGGGAAAATATAATAATAGCAATAATAATAACTTCCCCTCTCCTGGAAATATAAGAATAAAAATGAACCTCTTTTCTTCCAGGAAAATGTAATAATGATGATAAGGAGGAGGAGAAGAAACATAATAATTAATAATAATAATGAACCTCCCCCAGGAAAATGGAAGAAGGAAGAGGAAGAACCTCTCCTTCTCCTAGGAAAATGTAAGCTCCTTGAAGGTAAAATTCATTTTTATTTTTTAATCTTTAAATCACCAGCTCACAGTTTTCCCCAGAGTAAGCATTTAATAAACATTTGATTTGTTGAATCAAAATGATCAAAGTCCAGGCTTATACCACTGAACCCACTCTTTCTATGATCTAATCAAGATTTTATTAAAAATATAGTCAGAAGCATAATACAAAGTCATTAATGATTCCTCATTTTAGGAGTGCAATATGCAAAAGAAAAATACACAACTTCATTTTTACAAAAAACTGTACTATCAAGCAACAGCAATATGAGATCAGAAAGATATCTCAAATATACAAATAAAGTACAATAAATTTCAAAAATAATTCTAAGAATAAGGTCAAATACTATGCCAGTTGAAAGATATCATGTAGTGAGCTGGCACTATGTCCTTAGGGCGAAGGTTAATCCGAAATACAAAACATGAGCTCTATTATTAGCATTTTCTATTCCTAATCCTGTTAAATTTCTACTCTCATAAAGGCCTGGAGATTCATAGACCCAGTACACAGGTCAGATGGTTTTCATATGTCAGAGGGTTTCCATTTCAAACTCTGTTGGGGGGTGGGGGCAGGGACAGGGAGGGAGAAAGACAACAATCAAAACTGTAATCAACTTATCCTAATTTTTTATCAAAATAAAAACATTTACAGAGGAAGGGAAGTGAGTGGGGAATATGCTGGAATTTCACCTTTGTCACACTACTTTAAATCAAGTCAGAGACCAGTCATATGGCTTTCAGAAGTACAACAGCAACGTGGCTGATAATTTTAGCTGAATTCTTAGTGACTACAGTCCCTGTTGTACAATCCTATCATTTGTAGCAGAAATCTACTGTGTATGTTAGGATCTTGTTATGAGGGGCTTTAACAAGCTTAAATATTCTATCTCCAAAGAATGTACTTTAGCAAAAGGATGGAGTGATGTCACATATCCTTCAAGTAGGTAGAAAAAGAGAATCCATCCATCTTATAGAGCTCATAAGTTTCAAATTTTCTTAGTCAAGTACGGTCTACTAAGCAAATCAGTGGAGTTATCAGCTTCATCAAAGTACACACAAAATGAAAATAATGCATATGTCTGAAAAAGTGGCATATGACAAGAGCATAGATGTTTCCAAGAAAGAATAGCTTCTGAATAAAGGACCTGCCTTGCACGTGTTATGCTAGAGAAGGAAAAACTAAAACTAGAGTGTGAGTGCAGAAGCTTTGATCTATGTGATAAGAGTTTAGTGGTCTCTTTGTTCTATTTTTTTTAAAATCACTGTATAATTTGAAAAGGTAACCTAGAGATTCATATCTTCCGCCTGATCCCTAGACCTTCACCATGGCAAATCAAATATTCTTGTTGTATATGATGACTTTTCACATGGATAGTATGAGCTAATCTATCCTCATTTTTTTTCTTTCTCCCAAAACTCAAGCTCATTGTATCAGTTCCCAATTGTGGATGGTGGCAGCAAAAGTAAAATCAAGTTCCTCTAGCTGTGAAATTATTTATTAAATATTCTCTTTATGAACTAATATCTTTTGAATTTTTTTAAAGACTTTGTAAGTAATGCATAGTTTGGAAAAATCCAAACCTGTTCCATTGAATAGAAAGTGCAATCCTCTATGGTACTAAAGACCGGAACTGAGATCACTTTCAAATTAAAGGACCTATAAAACATCTGTAGTGCTCTGATAATTTTAAATCACTTTCCACTGCCTAAGTCCAGATTCCCTATCACTTTCAAGCTGAAACACTTATGATAAATTTGAAGGACTCTAATAATTTCAAATCATTGTGTTCTGCACATGCCCAGAACCTTGATCACTTCCAAATTCAAAGGCATATAAAAATTTGAAGAGCTTCAATTATTTTAAATCACCATGTGCAGCATATAGAGTGATTTTAAATTGTTGTAGTGCCTCACATTTTTTTAAGCACTTTAGTTTGGAATGGAGTCAAGCTGCATTCCAGCATAGCAGTTCAAGGAGGCATATTGGACTGATTTGAAATCGTAACACTCATCAAAACTAGAAATTTATACTCCCCTCCCACCCCCCTACCCCCAAAAAGTGAGGATAGGGCAAAAAGAAAAATTGCAAAGGTTTTAGAACAAATCTACTTTTCTTTCTCCAGTTAGAAATAAGTAAGGCAAGAACTGAGGTGTCTACTAGACTAGGCCAGAGACAAAAGATCCAAAGGGGTTTAAAAAGTGAGGAATAGTTTTTCTTAAAGTTCTAGCACAATGAGATGAAAGAAACACAGCCAAGGAAGTGGAAGAAGGCTCTGAAGGCACAGCAGGCAAATTCATCCACTCCTACAAGCTGAATTTTAATGGAAGTGGCATTTCAGTGATCATGTTTTTCCTTGCCTCAATTTGCCCAGTAAAGGATAATTTTATGATTTCCTGTCTTCTGAAGCATGATTATTTCACATTATGTTTTACCAACTGATGGTGTTTGCTTCCCCCCCCCACCCCACTGCCTCCCTAAGCTCTTTTTTTCTATATTCTCTTTGTTTGGTTGTGGGAAAGGGTGAACATGGACATTTTGCCCAACATAGAAACTGGGAAGTATTAGGTTAGTTTTCAAGAACTTAATCTTTACAGGACATAAATATTATATCAAGACAATCACACTCTTTAGGATGTCCTTTCTCAAGCATTTTCCATCTCCTCATCTTGTTCTGCAATAATAAAAACTAGACCCTTCCCATCACATATACACACACCCTGGAAAGAACCAAAACAAAACAACAACAAGAAAAAAAAAGGTTATTTTTTGTTGCCTTTGGGCTTTCACGTATATTTGGCCTGGCACTGCCCAGAAAGCAGGGCATTCTCCGTAATTCTGCTTCAGTGAAAACATACTGTCCTGTAGTTAGTAGGAAAAAGGGGGGAAAAGAGCCTGAAGGCACTGGAATAATTAAGCGAATGCAGTGACAGCTGTGGCAGGTCCCGGGCAGGACTGGCTCCACTGAGCTGAATTAATGACATCAACAGCCCAGCATCTCCATTAACATTTGATCATTAATTATTACCCTCTGACAGTAAGATCTGAAACCTCCTTATGAATAGTCTCTTATTAATCTACCTTACCTGCCCTAAAAAGTGGGCATCTCTCACACCTCAGTAGAAGTAATCTTGCCTTTTTCCCCCATACTGTACCTTTTTTTTTCCTTTAAAAATCAGCAACTATTTTCATTGCCAGGGCAAACAGGGATGGCCACCAGGTTATTAAGTCTCCTTGGAATGAATTGGATTTCACTTTCTCAGAAGAAGCATTTTCATTTACAAGAGAAAGTAAATATACCTGGTTATATCAGAAAGGCTTTTCGTTATCTAGTTTGAGTGTGGTTAGAGGAAGGGAAGGGGGCACCGTGGCATTCAATCTCCTGGAAGGGCCTCCCAGGACAACACATGATTAAATCAGTCACAATGTCCTCTTACCTTGTAATGCCTGGGACAAACCAGCATGTGAATTGTCAGATGGCAGTTGGAATGCATCCTTTTACAACAGCTTATTTCAGATTCCAATTACTGGAGATATGATCAGTGTGTTAAACTGCCTTCTCAATTCTACAGACACTTAATGTTTCCTTGGCTCAAAATCCTAAGAAAACATATAATAAGTACATATTTTTAAAAGGAAAACAGCAGTGAAAAATGCATCCAGTATTCATTCCAGGGCCTTCTTCTTATTCTTTGAATTCATGTTATTTTCACTTTGAAATGAGGAATCATTATAATACATATTTTGGGCAAATCATGTAACAGATTATATTGGTTGTCCAAATGTTCTTGGTGAACCTTCAAACCCACCTTAGCATTTTGAAGTATAAAAGTTGTTTACAAATAGGAAAATGTTAGGGAAGTGAGTAACGGATAGTTGGAAGATAAATGTGGGGTTTATCAGCAGAGTGATGTCCAAGGAAGGCCTAACTTCCTCACAGTCTCCTCCCACCCAAGTTACTCTTAGAACCTTTATCATAGGAGAGGTTTGTTGGCTAAGACTGGCTCTCTGACTTGAGATGTAAGGTCACTGAAATGCTTACATTCTCTCATGTGATAAGAACCCCAAGACAACACACCTTACCTAAACCACCAATTACAGAAAAGCAGGGTGATGGAGTGGAAAGGGCACTAGATTCAGAGGACCTGGGTTCAAATCTTGGCTGTGCTGCTTACTAGTTATCTTACTATGACCTGGTATGGGCAAATGATTTCCTTTTTTTAGGTTTCAATTTCCTTACCTATAATCCAGGAAACTGGATTAGATTAGATTATCTTTAAATTCCTCCCAGCTCAAACTCCTATGACCCAAATAGCCTTTTAGATGGAATAATGTACATGAAAGTCCCTCTACAAGGTAAAGGGATGAGGACTGAACCTGGAATTTCACTGGTACATGGAACTTGTGGGTAATTCCCTCCGTAAATGTAGGTTGGCACCTTCTCTGCAAATTACCATTTTAAAAAGTTGCCTAGAGAAGTTTCAAACTCAAATAGAAACTGGGCCACTGAATTGTATGTAAAGATGTCTACAGTTGCTTATTGACTTAGAAAACTATTTAATAATATATCTATGTTCTATTGTATTTTTATTAATTTTGTTAAGTATTTTCCAATTATGTTTTGATCTGGTTCTGAAAGGAGTATTGCCCGTGTTTATTTGACACCCTTAGACTAGAGTACCCATAGATTTAGTAACTTGCCCAGGGTCAGAGTCAGACTGTGTCATAGGTAGGATTTGAACCTAGGTCTTCCTGGATCCAAGGCTGACTCTATCTGCTAGGTTGCAACTACCTCTATAAAACACTATGTAAATATGTTGTCATTATCAAAGACCAAATTGATGTACAGCATATGAATTTGCTGATTTTTGTTTCCCCACTACAAATATTAACCCATATTCACTTTCTAGACATAACACAGATATGGCAGAGCTTAAGAGTAGGGTCACTGCTGCCAATGACCAAACACAGAACCAGAAAATCACAAAGCCATTTGTAAAGGTAGTTTCACATATCAGACAAGGCAAGTTTTGCAGAATCATACCTGATCAAAGATGCAGTCAATCCACTCTGCTAGGATTTCACTAAGATGGACATCTAGAAGCTGAGTGTTTCTGGGTCCCTATAGCTAAATCAGTAAGCTAAGTCACAGTCAGCTAAGTGATACAGTGGACAGAGCTCATAACTTGGAGTCAAGAAGTCATGAGTTTGAATCCTACTTTAAACCACTTATTCATTGTGTCACCCTGGGCAAGTCATTTAACATCTTTCAATCTAAGCATTTATATCTATAAAATGGGAATAAATAACGGCATCTACTTCTTTGGGCTGATGTCAGTCAATAAATAAGGACTTACTAAACACTTAACTATGTGCCAGTCACAATGTTAAGATCTAGGGATACAAAAAAAGGGTAAATATCAAATAACATACAAAAAGTGCTTTGCAAATCCTAAAATTTTATATAAATGCTACCTACCATTATTACCGTTGCCACAGGCTGGTGTAAGCAGATCACAACAAGCCCAACCAATGTTTCCATTGGACTCACTATACCCAAGGCCTTTAAACCTGTAATAGAAACACACTGATTTACTCTAGGACAATTATCCTGATTCTTCAGAAAGCATTTCTGTCATTAATTAAGGTCAGATATTCTTAACCCATAATATTAAAATACTGTCATTCCAATAAGGCAGCCCTTCTCACCTTGTTTGGGAACAGATCCCTAGCCTCAGCCTCTTACTTGGAGCCACGGATTAACCTTCCTGAACATTCACTATACTCAGCTCCCTTGACCTAGTGGTACCCTGTCCAGTCACCACCTTAGATATGAGGCCAACTGAAAACATAAAAATATGTAAAGAGCAGTATTAACAAAATGAAAGTAAGATCACAGGGGCTGGAAAGTCACGGAGATAGAGACAGAGCATGAAACCACAGATTGACTGACATGTAAAAGAGAGAATTTAGGTGGCTCAAAGGGAGAAAAGTATGGATTCCTATCTACCACATCCTTTTATTTTCTCTAGTATCATTAATACATGTTTAGTCAATCTCCAGTAACAATCCCCTCTTGGCGACCACCAGGAGAGAGGCCCAAAAGTATTACTCTCATTCTTCCTTGCCCTCTGAAACACCCTGTTCTGTGCTAATGCTAATCCCCCTCTTATTCAATCAATCCCCTTCTGACTACTTTCATTGGGCTGTGCTTCAACTAATTACATTCAATTTTTACCTCACCATGATCCCTCAATCTTTCTCTACCCTATATTCTAATCAAAAGTCTTCCCTCTATCTTACCTGTGCATCTACGCCTCAGTCCACTAGCTTACAGAAATGAATTTTATTTGAGAGATTTTAAACAAGTGGTTCTGACTCACTACGCCAGTTAGAGAAAAATCACTCAACTTTGCCAAACTTCATGTCCTTTATGAAATAGGGGACAACAATAACACTGTGTTCAACCCAAAGCAGTTATAACATAGTCGGAGACCCTTGGATGAAAAGATACATATAAACATAAAATATTACAATGATATCCTCATGACACATCCAGATAAGTATATTAACCATAAGCTTTCCTACAGGAAAGATTAAAGACATCAACATTTTAAAGAGTCATGCACTTTAGTGCCTTATTAAAGATTTCATTGAATTTTATTCATCTTACACTAGATTCACAATGAGTCTTTAAAGAATTAAAATTTTGCATTTTGATTGCTTTTTAAAAATTATTTAGGAAAAGATTACAGAGAAGATATTGTTTGACACTGAATTTCTGTTAACCATGTCTTCCAATGAAGCATAGTTGTACACATTGTTTTAGAGCTAACATAATGAGAAATATTTTCAAAGAGGGCTGTGTTTCAAGCCAGATGGTTTATCTGCCGAAACAATTCTCCCAGTAGAGAAGTAGGGGCTGCACAGTTGCAGTAGTGTTCAGAAGCCTAGTGCAGTAGATTCATTTGGCACCCACATTTAGGAGTCAAACAAAAGTGTGGTTTGTGTGAATTTCAGACTCAGACGTTCATAAGTGAAAAAGAGTTTTCTATCATTGTACATTATGCTTTATTGTAAAGGGAGTAACATGTTTATATCACAGACCCAATGTGCAAATATCATACCCTTTTCCAGATACATGTATTAATAATTTCCCTTAAACCAAGTAAGGGGGTTGGTTCAGAAACTTGTACAGTCTTGCTAGAAAAATGGATTTCCTATTATTCATGCTGTCATGTAAATTTTAAATCTATCTTCTGGATTTAAAAGGAATAAATGAACATGTGTCCATGAGTCCAGAGTCCATTGCTGAAACTAAAAGGACTTCATAGAAGAATGAAACATTCAAGTTAAGGTTTAAAGCAATAGGCCTTTTTGTTCTAGCATGGTTAAAGGAAAGTAATGGCTTAGAGACACACAAAAAGCATGGGCAGGGAGAACATCATATGGATACTAGAGCATGCCCCTGACCCCTCTTCCCTTTTATATTAGGGTCAAGATGAACACTTCCAAACTAGAAGCATTCTCTCCACAGAGCTGAAATTGATATATTCAGACCAGAGTAGTTCCCCCAGTCACTGACTATACATACATGGAGATCTAAATCCCCAAAGCAGGACTGTGGAAGAGACAGAGAAGGAATCCAATCAAGGAAGTCCCAAGGAAGCCTTAGACATGATGGCTATAGCAGGAAAAAAGGAGTCCACAGTGACCTATGATATACTTAGGACAGCCCAAGACAGCTCTTGGGTCAACTTGGGCCCCATGGCGGGTTCCCATTCAGAGTTTTTCAAGTGTTTTTTAATAGTGGGTAGAAGGATTCTGCTCTATTCCTGAAATCACAGGCAAGGAAATGTCCATTGGTTAGGAAAATAGAAGCTTCTAACTTGGAATGTTGCAAATAAAGAAGTTTATAGCTGTGAGGTGTGGAGGAAAAAAAAGGAAGGTAAGGACCCAGGGCAAAAGAAGAGCATAGAAGGAAAAGGTACCCTAGGCATGAGGAGGAAACATGACTATTGAATAAATAGTTTGCTGGACATGTACACAAGTCAACGTGTACAAGGTGGTCTTTGCCACTCTCATGAGATGGGTTGTTTCTGCCTTCTTAAGTGGCTCCAGAACTTCTCACCTCTTGTTTTTCTGGGGTCACTTCAAGAAATGGCCTAAGGCTTCAAATTTGCTATCTTCCAAAAGACTTCATAAATGCTCCTATCTAACCTGGTTTTCTTGGATGTCTGTGTTATATGAATGCCCATTTCTCCAGCATGCCACCACTACTCACATTTTAAAAATAAAGCTGTAGAAGTAGAGAATTCCAGGAGGGGTTACCATCCTCTGAAACTTCTCAAGCATCCAGAGGGATGGGAAAATCCCTGAGATTCCAGAGATTAAAAACACACACATGGGAGGTTCTAAATAAAGAAATTCCTGGGTATGTTGGGAAAGTTGGCACCAGTGTTACAGTCCTTAGTCTCATGGACTTCACTTTTGAGTGAGCAATTTTGTGTGTGTGTGTGTGTGTGTGTGTGTTTTAAAGAGAATCAGGGAAACCAAGTGTCCCTTTTCTTCTCATGAATATCTAAGAAAGATCTGATTCTCTGCTGTTCCATTTATTTCCTATACCTTGGTTTCCTATACCTTGGTATTGTTGCATTTAAACAAGCAACCTGAATTCCAGGTCAAATTTGTAAAACTTCAATATGAAAAAATGTGTCTTTTAGGGGGAAAAAAGTGAACAGGCTGATCTGCACAAAGTAGGCTATGGCTAATTACCTCCTTACTGCATATACACACAGTGTATAGAGATTGGTTTTGTTTTGGTTGTTTTTTTACAGACCACATGGAAGAGTGGATAGATTATTAGACTTGGATTCAGGCAGACATAGTTTCAAATTCTGTCTCTGATACTACTAGTTCAGTGACCCTGGGCAAGTCACTTAATCTCTCTCAACCCCTGTTTCCTCAGTGGTATGCTGACAAGTTTAAGGAATTCAGAGCAGCAAGGGAGCAGTATGAACTTATGAACTAACATAGACCTGGCACAACATATACAAGGAATACAAAAACTTAAATGGAGTGGGGCCATAAAAGAACTCTATAAGTTTCAGTAAGAGATCATCAGCATGGCCACTGAACTCCTGACGATAATGGCAAATCTTTGCTCAAGAGAGCACATGATAAAGTATATTTCCTTCCCATCTGTGAACTCACAGGTATACTGGAAATGATTGCAATATTAAAACAAATGGGACTAATGAAACTTTAAGAATTAAAGTGCCTCATTATGTTGGTAAAGAGAAATCAAAGGTAGCTATTGTCGACATAGATGGGATTATCTTTTCTGAAATTCTCAGTTTAGCTGGAGAAGCCGAAGAATTATGGGAGGAGGCTGAGGAGGGATGGCTTCATTGTTCATGGATCCAGCCAATACTCGACCATTATCTTTATTCCCAGACACTATAATGACTATAGATCTGATTTTCTCTGGCTAAATTAACATTGATATCCAATCTAAACAAATGTTGGAGTTGTGTGCCAAGAGGAAAGTCTTTATCAACTCTAGAACATATTATGGAATATATATGTATTTTATCATATATATATAGTTACAGAATATATTTGTATGTGTATATATTCTATATGTTATATATATACATATGTGTTCTATAGACACATATAACAGGTTATTATATATACACATATGTGTATTCATACGTATATACATGTAAGTATATTATATTGTTTTCTATGAGCCAAACTTTAAAAGCCAAATACCTATCAATTACCTATGTCTCTCTGAAGAAAAATCTAGTATTTTCAAATATTTGCTTCTCTCCCCTTATCTCCACCCTGACCTCTGACTCTAATCTATATATGCTGCTTTTTAATCTTTTTGAGCTACTTCTCCTGGCATGACATTTAATGAGGGCATTGGATACATTCAAACTGGCAGCATCACATAATTCTCCAAAGCAGCTGCTCTGGAGAATTTATTTCCCAATTTTTTCTTAGAAAAGTTTTGTCATTTGCCAGTAAGCTGATCATATTATGTCACAGTCCAGGTTCTTAGGCCCTATGACATTCATAACATAACTTTAGTAAATATTTGGTAAAGGATCTGCTGCTAGAGTGTTTTTTTAAGTGCCAGGTTAGTTATTTGCTGCATCAAAATATTTCTGCGTAATTAATGCCATGTATCTTTAAATACCTTCATGTCCTAAATACCTGGAAATCTGCCAAATGCTTCAGCAACATCACTAGGATTTTCTTGTCTGACTTTTGTTTATATGACATAAATGGCATTTTATATAACTTTAAATATGTTTTTAGAGGAAATATCAGAGTGGGTATTTTTTTTTGCCTTGTATCGTGGTAGCTTATAATATCAAAATTGTGTGTGTGTGTGTGTGTGTGTGTATGTGAAAAGGCAGGTAGGTTGAATACTATTCAAATATTTGTTGCATCAAGAGCAAACTGGATATTTCCAGAAAGTGAACAAATTGAATTATTCATGAGGCCATGGCTAAGTCAATACACACATATCTCTATCTGAAACCAGATCCTGTTTA